ATACACACACACACACACACACACACTGACGCTGAAAAATAAAACACTATTATTTGCAAAAATGGTTTTACTTGGTCTTATAGAAAAAAGTAGACATTGCTTTTGTATCTTTGGAACATCTTTAAAACTCTCAACAGCAGTGTACTGCACCTCACAAAAATAGTACAAATAACTGCAATAATAATAATAATAAAAACAATCATTTAGTGCATTCACACTCATTCAGTAAAAGCTGAATAAAGTTTACATGCCGTGCAGGAAACAAGAGAGAAATCAGTGTTTGAACATGATGCAACTCCAGCTGCTGCGGTGGAAGAAGGGTTCTTCTTCTTCTTCTCTGTTGTGCTGGAATCTCATGCGTCTTAAATCACTTTATATAAAATCAAACAAATCCAACTACAGAAATGACCAGGAATGAGTTTGGGAAGAGTATGAAGATTATCAGGAGCTGCTGCTGATGATGATGATGATTTTCACACGATTTGCATATTTTGTCCCGACAGTCGCAGTGTTTCACTCTTCAGGATCTGCTCACAGCGACACACTGCACATCTCTGATGATCTGAACGTCACACGAATCTCTACAGACATCCCACACGAACATGAGACTCGTATAACTCAAGCATAATTACTACTGTACACAAACCTGCCGTTTAAAGGCACCGCAGGAGATCTCAGTCTAGTGATGGATTGCCCTTGACACTAGTTCATCTGAAGCACTCCTGACCTTTAGAGGAACGTTCATGAAATAATGACAGAAAAACAACAGAGATGCATATGAACTGATCTGAAAATCAGCTCTTGTATTCTTATATTGAGCAGAAAAAGCAGAAAATACAAATCACAGATCTTATTTTTATCTGTCATATCTTAACTTTAGTTTTATGACAATATAAAAAACAATGAATTAATAATGAGATTTGTCTTTATAATGTCACGCTTTTGTTTGTCTTGGGCCTGGGACAATAAATCAATGCATCGCGGATCAAGAAATGATTCCGCATTGATTCTGAGATTTTCCGAAGGCATCGTGATTCTCTCTCGAGTCGATTCTGAGCTTAGTTTTTAACAGCAGATGGCGCTGCGTGCTTTAGAAACAGCCGTATTCTGCTTGCTTCCAGTTCCTTACACACGCACCATTTAAACCTAAAATAATCATTCATAAAGTTCGAAAAGGTTGAAGCGAATTACAAGGATGTTCACAGTGGGCTGTGTTTACATTAATCTCGCGTCATAAAAGCAGAGGTGCAAGTACATTTAACCACTTATATGACTCATTACGTTTGAGTGTGCGGTTAAAAACTAGCCTAGAGCGCCATCTGCTGTTAAAAACTAAGCTCAGAATCCATTCCAGAGAGAATCACGATGCATTCCGAAAATCTCGATCCACGAATCACGATGCATCGATTTATTGTCCCAGCCCTACTTTACATTATTCCTGGAGGACGGACACAGTCCAGCTCTGGGTCAAACGCGTCGAGACTCTGATGTTGGCGTCAGACGCTCTTGCGGTCCTGGATGGCGTCGACTCTCTGAGCGAGATCTTTGAAGGTGGGCCGATCGCCCGGCTCTGCCTCCCAGCACTCCTTCATCAGCGCGCGAACCTGTGAGACACACACACACACACACACAGACGGGTCACTCTCTGCACTCTCCGCATGATTCGCTCGCGGTCTCGCGGTCTTCACCTCGGCAGGACAGCCGTCAGGAGCCGGCAGACGGTAGCTGCGCTTCAGCAGATCGATCAGGTGATAAACGATCATCTGGCCCTGCTTGTCCTCCCCCATCTGCTCCATAAACACCTGACACACAAACACCACGCATTACTGTCACGGTTTGACGATTCTTATTATTACTGTAGTCATAGTTGTGTGTCACTGGGTCTTGTATAGTGCAGAAGCTGTTAATGTGATTGCTGGTGATTTACTGGGACTGTCCATCGATTACGGTTGCTTTCTGGTAACTTGAACGCTATGATATGAAAATAAGTGACATACAGTGAAGATGCTTGGTCACTTACAGCTGGAGGACTGCAGCTTTTGTCACTGTATGTAAAGAGTTCGTAGAGAACGACTCCGAAACTCCAGACGTCTGACGCCACGCTGAACTTGCTCTCAGTCAGAGACTCCGGCGCATACCTTCATCAACACATCATCATCATTAACATAAAACACATCAATAACGCTGCATCAAACTCAGAAATCAACATAATCAACATATGAGCATGAGTCAGGGCTCCGGACTCACATCTGAGAGCAGCGCATCAGAAGCAGATTTGGTAGCACTGGGGGGTATTAAAAATAAAGATAATTCTCAAGCCAACCTACTGATCTGCTACTTAAGCTTTTTATTCTTCTTCTTAGACTAAATTTCTAAACGCTACCAAACTCAGCCCAGCTCTTCAGACTGATCTGACTTAGTGTGCTATATCTTTTCAGACTGATCCAACTTATGGTTTTCATAAAAATGAAGATTAAAAATCATAAAAATCCCATAGACTTACATTGACGGAATGTTCAGATGAGCCAAGACTATTCAAACTCCAACTGTCAAAATTCAAATGTAAACACTGAAGCCCATTAGACTCAATCAAGCTTTCCTTCTATGTACTATTTCTAATCAATTTAAACTCATTCAAGCTTCCACTCTAATATTTCTAATCTATCTATCTATCTATCGTTAGTCCAGCAGGGGGCGCTGAAGGACAAAAGTCTCGTGGTCAGTAATCTGGACCGGGACATCACCCTGTGTGACAGCACTCTTACTACCTTACAGGTAAAGAAACCCTGTGTTAAATACAAACAAAACAAAAAAACAACGTCTTCTCAAATTCTCATAATCCCTCACAATACCAAGTTCAGGGAACAGTCGACTTGTTTCTGAATCTATAGCAGCAACAATTTTCACTCTAATGTAAATTATTTTTGTTATTCAGAGAATCCTCACCATTCATTAGGTTGACTTGAGAAAGCCAACCTACTGATCTGCTACTTAAGCTTTTTATTCTTCTTCTTAGACTAAATTTCTAAACGCTACCAAACTCAGCCCAGCTCTTCAGACTGATCTGACTTAGTGTGCTATATCTTTTCAGCCTGATCCAACTTATGGTTTTCATAAAAATCCCATAGACTTACATTGACGGAATGTTCAGATGAGCCAAGACTATTCAAACTCCAACTGTCAAAATTCAAATGTAAACACTGAAGCCCATTAGACTCAATCAAGCTTTCCTTCTATGTACTATTTCTAATCAATTTAAACTCATTCAAGCTTCCACTCTAATATTTCTAATCTATCTATCTATCTATCTATCCTAGCGACAAGTTAATCATGCTAGAAACATACTAGCAACATGCTATTAACATGCTAATCATGCTAGTAACTTGCCAATCATGCTAGCAACATGCTAGTAACATGCTAATCATGCTAGAAAACATGTTAACAACATGGTAGTAACTTGCTAATCATGCTAGCAACATGCTAGTCACTTGTTAGTCATGTTAGAAACATGCTAGTCATGTTAGAAACATGCTAGCGACATGCTGGTAACTTGTTAATCAGGCTAACAACATGCTAGCAACATGCTAATCTTGTTAGAAACATGCTAGTAACTTGCTAATCATGCTAGCGACATGCTAGTCAACTAGTAAACTTTTACAGCTTTTACAACTGTTTTAAACTTTCAGGCTAGGCTTTCTCAAGCCAGCCTAAAGTTTGTCTTGACAAACTTTTTAAATCTAGTTTAATCTTGAAATTACTATAGTTTAACATTAATAAATGCACTTACTAATAATATTACACGTCTGTTTCTTGGTAATGCACATTTGACAGTAAAGCACTGAGCCTGAGTTGGGAAGCGCGGTTTCGTTACGCTTTTGTTGCGTTTGCCGTTTGATGTTTCTCGTGTGCAACAGAAATGGCAGCGTTTATGAGTTGGGCATGCGGTGGTCGAGTCTGGAGCCCTGCTGTGAGTGAATCTTGTAAGAACCGGGTCACATTTCACCCGAAACTATTGTGTAAAAAGGCTTAATTTTCATTATGCAGAATATCATTGCTTGTTCGTCTCTTGATTTTGGGGTGAAGTATGACACAGTTCTTGGTCACTCGTCACACAGCTTCAGCCAAACGTTTGCGGATCTCCTCACCAGAAGATGGGGCTCTCGCCCGGCTCGCGGACGGTGTAATACTCCTTATCCTGAGGAAGAACTTTAGTCAGGCCGAAGTCTCCGATCTTCACACGAAACTCACTCTCCACCAGAATGTTCCTGGTGGCCAGATCTCGATGGACGTAGCGCTTGGACGCCAGGTAGTCCATGCCCTAAACAAACACGGAGACAGAAACACGTCACGCTCAGCTCTTCAGCAGGCTGTTCCTCACGAATCTTCATGTGTGTGTGAAACAGGTGTTTTCCGTACCTTACAGATCTGAGAGGTGTACAGCAGAAGCTTCGTGTGGTCGAAGCGCTCCTTGTTTTTTGAAAGATAATCTCTCAAACTACCAAACGGCAAAAACTCCATGACCAGCCGCAGGTTCTTACGACCTGAAGACAGACAGAGAGAGAATCAGGAGAGAGGCGTGTCTCAGGACCAGCATGCTCTAGTGCAGACAGACGCTCACCTGCGCTGTAACACACTCCCTTGTATCTGACGATGTTCTCGTGCTGCAGCGAGCGCAGGATCTCGATTTCCCGCTCGAAGTCTCGCAGGTGTTCGGCCGTGCTGTGCTGTAGCTTCTTGACCGCGACGACTTCGCCCGTGTTGTCCTGCAGCGGATCGTAGCGGCACTTCTCCACGCTGCCGAAGTTCCCCTGCAGACACAATGACGGAGTGACGTCTGAAACATTAACGCTGATGATGATGATGATGATGGTGGTGGCTCACCTTCCCCAGCAGCTGGAGGAAGATCAGGTGTCTGGCCTCAAACTGAGTGGGTTCCTGGCTCTCGAACGCTCCGGCGAGACCCAGCGCCCGATGCCTGCTGGGAACCGTGTCGCTCTCCACCAGCAGCTCGTAGTCTGAGAAACACAGAGACACAGGCGTCACGCGAGCGCTGAGTATCATGGTGTTTGCGCGGCGGTGCGTGTGGTGAGTGTCACCTGGCGTGAAGAGGCTGTTGAGGTCTCGGATGACGGCTCTGAACGAGGGCCGCTGCAGCGGCTCGTACTCCATGCAGCTGTTGATCACGCTGGCCAGTTCAGTCCACTTCGGAGCTGGAAGCTGGTGCTTGTCTTCGTAGAACAGCAGCTTCTGCACGACACACAAGAGCATCAGTTAGAGTCAGCGACACGCAGCGCAGACAGAAGCGCGGAGGGGCCGCTGCACCTTGGACCCGTCGTACGCCGCGAGCGGATGTTCTCCGCTGCAGTAGATCTCCCACAGCGTGGTGCCGAAGCTCCACTTATCTGCTGCCAAACTCAGGCTCTTGCTGTCCTTCACGCACTCGGGAGGAACCCACGGGATCCGGTCCACCAGAACTACAGACAGAAGAGCACAGACACGCGTCAGGAGAAACACCACGACTCCTCTCAGCTCAATAAACCAGTTCTGTCTGGATTCGCTCCTGTCCTGTTCAGACTGGACGTGTTTTCTAAACCACACGAATACGGCTTCGCTCACGTTCTCTGGGCTGGACGGTGATGCTGATCCCCGGGTCACTGAGCTTGATGAACGGAGGCGTTCCCGTCTTTCGGTCTTCTTCTCGGGTCACCAGAACGTTCCTGGCACAGACGTTTCCGTGGATCAGGTTCTTCTCCTCCTGCAGATCAGAAACACGCAGTGATTATCACGGCCTCTCATTAGTCTGGTGCCGGGATTCTGTGACGCTCACCAGGTGATGTAGCACCCACGCTAGCTGCTTAGCCACCTCCAGCTTCCAGGTGATGTTGATGGTGTTGCGGTTTCGTTTCAGGTACGTGTCCAGAGAGCCGAAGCGCACATACTCCTGCACCATGATGTCTGGAAGACACGCAGATGCTTACACACCTGACAGAA